AAAAAGTCACCTGCTGCTGTGCACACACATCTGCAGACACACACACACACACTGTCACTGTAGGTCAGGTCAATGACAGTGTAAGCTGTCGGGGCTGCTGCATGCTGCGGCTTGTCGACACCAGAATGGAAAGTTATCTTTGGTCTCTACCTTTGCAGAGTGGCTGGTATATGGTCTTCCACACAAAGAAACACATGAGCAGACAATGACAAAGGACAACTAATCATCAAGTAGCACTTTTTCACACTGGCACAACGCTACTGTTCAATTCCTATAAAGCCTGTTCATGTTGCCAAATGGAAATAAGTGTACAATGGGTCCCTTTGATTCTGGCAGATATTTATAGACAGACTTTTTTATGGATCTCCTCTGAATCAGGGTCATAGACTTGTAGGGTTTTATCAGCCACAGTGAACAACCAAAGAATATCAATGTCATGATCAACATCAGATCAATCAAACAAGTGACTACGATAAGTCTTTACTAGACACTGATATTTATAAACAGGTCAAATTCTGAAGCAGTGAGAGAAAGAAAACATAGTAAAAACACCAGTATTGTTTCTAATGGGATCTCTTCCATTCTACTGGCCTATATTGTCTGGCCAGTTTTGCAAATAGCTACATGTTTTCGAAATAGTTGTGCTCGATATGTTTCTATTTCTGGATGCTAATTGTCTAAAGATCAGAATCAGAATTAGAACTGAATTTGACTCTGGTACAGTGGCTCTCAATGTGTATGTACAATGCTCTTCTGTAAGGCAACGAGTCAACAAGATAAGGCTGAGAGAGAAAAACGAAAAGGAAAAGAACGTGCATTAGGAAAATAAAGTACTTATAAATATAGAAATATATATACACACACAGTTTAGATGTAGTTTTCCAGATAGATATATACAAAAGTGTATTTACAGGTCATGGGTTAAGTGTTCATCAGTGCGATGGCCCAGGGGAAGAAAAGGTCCGTGTGCTTGGTTGTTTTGGTGTACAGTTACCTGTAACGCCGTCCAGAGGGAGGAGATCAAACAGTTTGTGTCCAGGGTGTGAGGGGTTTGCAGAAATCTGCCCTCCTTTTAAACCCGTGAGGTGCACAGGTCCTCAGTGGAGGGCAGGCTGGCACCAATGATTCTTTCTGCACTCGAGGTGTTGCAGGATGTAATGCAGTGCCATGTTGACTGCATCATCAACTGACCTGTTTGCCTGGCAGGCAAACTGCAGGGGGTCCAGTAGGGGGTCTACTGTGTCCTTCAGGTGGGCCAACACCAGACTCTCAAAGGACTTCATAACTACAGACGTTAGGGCGACAGGTCTGATGGAATCAGTTGCTTACCAGCCACATACTTGGAGCACATACTGTACATTCATGCTTAAGCTCACATTCATTTGTCGTTTTTGTTAGTTAGTTTGTTTTTAGCTTTTTTTTTCTACTTGCATTTCTGTTTTCAGTGCTTTTACCAGCCCACCTGAGTTTCTGTCTTCACCTGCACAGATGTTACATTTTGTACTTTAGTGGCTTCAGGACAAACAAACAAAGCAAAATCTACATTTAAACTCACCCAGGTAACACTGTCATAATGCTGCAACTCAACAGGTCCTTTTCAGTTTATGTATTATCATGTTACTATTATAAAACCAAGCCTGAGGTGAGGGAGGCATGCAGAACATGAGGCCAGGACCGCAGTCAGCTCAAAGCGGGCCCACACACATCTCAGTGTGTGGCTGATAGCTTCGGTGCAGAAATCTGGAGTCATGCTGGCGCTAAATATAGACACAGGTTTTATGTAAGCCGAAGTGAATCATTCCTTTCCACACATTTCAGCACATTTACTCACACACACTGAATAGGTGACTTGGCACAGGTGAAGGAAACACAGGGACGTGTTGAACATCCACAATGCGCATTAAATGAAATGGATTTAGAGAACCGACAACACAACATACTGTCTGCTGTCTGGCTGCTGAAGTCACGTACATTTACATACATGACTGTGTTTTGTGTTCATGCACTTATGTGTATGTGTTACTTCATGGGTGAAAAAAAAAGAACAAGGTGATTTCAGTGTTAATTAATATGATTTAACTGTGTGTGTTCAACAGCTGGAGCATCACAGTGTTTTATAGGAAAGAGATAATGGTTCAGTGTGTCTCAACAACACAGAGGTCATCTAACACATGTACATCTTTTCCACCTGCTCATACAGGCTGCAAAGACAACCTTTCTTAAAGCAGTTTCAGTCTAACTAATGGGGGGCAAACTTAACCCACTGAAGCTACTGTGAATCTTCAGCAGTCTAAGTCCAATGTTACAGTCATGTGAGTATTAAATGACCTATTTTTGTTCCTATTTGTCCACTGCAGCTCAGTATAGACATGCTATAGTAGTCAATCTGATTTATAAACATCACCTTATCTTATTAGTTTTACCGTTAATTATGTGTAATAGTGAACAAAAGGAGCCCAAGATAGAGGCCAGTCTCGATCCATGCTAACATTATCTAAGTAGATACAGAGCAAATCCAAACACACTAACAACACAGGCCTGCATATCGATTTTGTCTGACACAAAATAATGAAGAGGGGAAGTGTTAAAATGAGTTATTTCCAATTAGGAGTGTGGGATAAGGGATTGCTTACAGCTAAGGAATGATACAGGGAGAAGGGAAGTAGGAGAGACAACTTTGCAGAGAAACGAAGAGAGAAAGTATTAAGTGAAAAGGATGGAAGAAACACTTGGAAAATAAAGGTGCAGAAGAGCAGAGACACAAAATGAGGGCAAGAGAGGTTCAGAGGAAAGGAAGAGGAAAAGAGCAAAAGGAAGAGAGAGGAAAACAAAGTGAGGGATTGAACTGTGGTCATCAGGACAAAATGTTCTGATTCTTCTCCTCCAGAGAGATCCCCTTTGACACTGCCACTTAGCTTCAGAGAACTCCTTACCGCACACACGTGCACATGTCCTGGAAAAACCATGTCAGATTGACCCCATGTGTAAAGGCCACGCACACATACATTTACATGTTGCACTGCTGTTTATGAATCGTGACAAACAAAGGAATGATCCAATCAGCCTTTGTTTTAAAGGATCACAGCGTAAGACAGTGTCCACACACAGACACTCGTCCTCACTTTCTCTTCTCCGTACATCTCTCCTCAAGTCAGCCGCACACACATTGCCTAATGTTACATCATATTACTCTATTAAAATACTCATAAGACTCTCAAACACACACACACACAGAGGTTGGAAATACAAATTTATGCCATTTTCTGATTTTCATTTTTGTCCCTGTGCTGCTGCTTGTATGTAGAACACATTATGGTAACTAAAGGAGCCAATGTGTAGTGTTGGGAAAGCTACTTTGAAAGCATAGTTTCCAATTACTTCACACTGGAAGACATTGAACTACAGCAAAGCTACCATAGAGATAAATATAATGAACTAAAAGGGTCAAACTACTTTGGAAAAAATCATCAAAATAACAATGTGATACAAAATTATAACAAAATATAATACAAAAACCTTACATGCCAGGAAAAAAGGTTTCTCAACTGAATTTATTACCCGAGACCTTAACCTGGCCTAAAAACACAGTCCCATCTGGGCTTCAAGGACGAAACTGCAACAGATGTTATATCTGGATTTTACCTTACCTGATTACAACTGAACTAGCTAAAAGCAAAAAGACTGAACAGCTCAAACACTGATAATGGACCTCTGTCTTTTTACTTGTCAGAGTCTCTTGTTTATATGACACATGAGTCGTCGTTTAAAGTTCTTATCTAACTGGTGATTCTGTTTGGGGCTGAAAATGTCCTTTTATGGCCCAAATGCAATTGGAGTTTCAGTGGTGAACTACAATAAAAGCTGTAAAAATGTTATCTAGCTACTTGAATCACAATGCAAACATGAATGTAGTTGAACTGCCAGTAAGCTCCAGAAAAATGTAGTTGAACTACATGTAGTCCACTGCTGCCCACCACTGCCAATGTGTGACTGGAAAGATTTTCCCACTGTCTAATGTTAAGTTACATTAATATGGCAATGGCGACATCTACTGGCTAACGTGGCTAATTGCAGAAATGTCACAAAACTCAAGGGAATCTAATGTAGTTTTTATAAGTTACAGCATTGTGGTTTTCTATCCACCTGTTCTGAAGGTTCACTGTCTGAAGCCTCAAGTCACACAGAGTTCACTGGTGGAAAGCTCAGTCCTTGTGTTCTACACAACCCCGGCACAAGCTGAAGAATGAAGTGAAGCTGTTGCAAAGAGGTGGAATATGGGGCTTCAAATATTCATCCTTTATGTGTTTATTCCTGAGTAGAGTCGAGGGTCCAGCCTGGACAGGTCACCAGTCTATCACAGGGCTGACAGAGACAAACAACCACACACATTCACTATATTATTACTCACTCCTGTGGGCAATTTAGAGTCACCAATCAATCTAAGCTGCATGTCTCTGGGAGAAAGCCGGAGTACCTGGAGAGAACCTATGCAAACTCCACAGAGAAAGGCACCAGGTCAGCTGGGGATCAAACCCAGAACCTTCTTGCTGTGAGGTGACACTACATTAACCACTGTGCTGCTTCAGACCAGTCACTGCAATCTGCAACATTTTAGTTAACATGTACGTAACTGTCACATGTCAGTTCATTTTAGTTTACATGTACGTAACTGTCACATGTCAGTTATACACAGTATACAGCAGCAGCCTGTTGATGTGAATGGTTTTATACAGCTAACTTGTCCGTAGAGTGGAACAGTGTCAAACATTTTTTACTGGACAAGGAAGGAGCTTTTTTACAGATCACATGCTTGTGGAACTGAGCACAGGGTAAGTAGTGTACTGTATAAGTGAAGAAGGAACAGTGAGTGTGCTAATGTGACAGAAATACTGCAGACGGTAAGATGTACTCTGCAAGAAGTACAGTACAGTGACGAACAAAACAATCTACGACTAGAAAAAACATGCACGTGACTGCTGATGGAATAAACAGTGCCCATGTTTTTCATAAGAGATCAGGCTTTAATACATGTTGTTACAGGCACACACTGTATTTAAAAATCTGGAATGTTGAGGGACAGCAATAAAATAAATGAAGGTTTTCAAGGCATGTTGAAGAGTAAGTGATCACATTTTATCTGATATTTTCACTACAATCTTTCACACTACAAATTAAACAAGAGTCAAATAACATGGACTTGGGGTTGTTTTATACTTGGTTTGGTTCTCAGTCAGTAGCTCTGTCAAGTTGCTGTGTGGATGTATGTATACATCTGTAGATTATTATCATGTATCTCTTTATGTATCTATCTTTCTGCCTATGCTTGCTTGCAGCTACAGTAAACATGTCAAGGCTGGTACCACGTATTCAGAAACTTGTAAACAGGGGCCATATGCGACCTGATGCCAGACAAATTGAAGCGAATGACCTGATTTTCATTTCCCCAGTTCCTGGAAGGTTTACTTGATCTCCAAGCTTGTGATGCGAACCTCACCATCGAAGCTGATGACAGAGTACTTCTCTGCCCCCATGCGATTGGGGAAGTGAATCTTAGAGCCATCTTGCAGAGACACCACGAACTCCGCAGGGGTGAATTCAATGATAATCTGTACAGGAGGAGGAAAAGGAGGAAGAATATGCAAATAAAAAAATAAAAATGCTGCATAAATAACCTCTACTTCCTCTTGGCCATGGATATTTCAAGGGTACAGTGACACACATTTTCCAGCAGAGGTCACTAACAAAAAGGGAAACCAGCAGAGCTACATGCAGGACTAGAACGTGCACAAAAACAAAGGACCTCTCACCTTAAACTCCTGTCCCTGGCGGAAAGGGAAGCTTGCCTCACGTTGCTCCTGACACCAATTGCCTCCTTGGTAGGAGTTGCAGACCACTGTGTTTTCATCTCCATGGGCATTAAAGCGGGGATTGATGTGCATTGTAATCTCCTGCTCACTGGGGCCAACATTCACTGCAAAGCTGCAACCGCAAAGAAACAATGACATATAATACATTTTAATATGTCTCATTACATTTAAAATTGGTCATCGGATTCCAAATGCACAAAATATAGAGACAGCCTTAGCAGTTTTATTGCTACTGTTTTCAAACGCTATTATCTTCATCACTCTAATGTTACTGATGAGGAGTTAATAGCTGGTCAGTAACTAATTATAGATTCTGCCTCCACCTCTGTGTAGTATAAAAAAAGTTCAGTCATAGGGAAAATTGAATAAGCACATAGAGAAAAGAGAGCATTTGCAGGAATGAAGTATGAATTTGTTGGGTGGAATACAGGTGTAAATTATTGCTAATGTAACCTAAACACCAAGAAGAGCCAAGAATAAATTAACATTTTCAGTTTTACTGCAATTTTAGATTATTTCAAAACATCAAGACAGTGCTTTACACTGTTACTACTTACTTTGTAGCATCAGGCTTGGGAACTCCGACAATGGTCAGGGTCTGCCCGACCTTGAAGGACATGTTCCTTACGGTCATACCCTGTGCAAGAGAGAGATGGGATCATGATATACCTTATTGTGTGGCAATACTGCTGGAGTTTACTAGATCTAATCATTATTACAACTTCAGGCACACAGCACCATCAGACGCAGCCCCAGCCAACTCTACAATCCTCACTTCAACCATATAAAGCACACATGTGTTTTCAGTTATACTCCCACTGATGGCTTGTTCACAGATTCCATTCCTTTCCTGTGCCACTGCTGTCATGGACCTTTTCCTCTTCTGTGATTTTGGCAAAGGCTAAAAATGTTGAAAAATGATCTGGGACAACTGTTAAACTGAGCAATACTTTCCTAAGTGAATTACTGGGTGGCTGGTACACCATGGAAAGAAGGGCTGAGCATAGCAGAAATCCTCTGCTCACTTGCTACTGTACATGTGTCACAGGAGTATTGAACTGTGTCACAATTATGAAATCATACTTGACCAATCTATTATTTGGTAGTGAAACACATACATTATTTAACAGTCACTGGCAAGTCAGTCACTTCAGGCAGCGTGTAATGTTAATTTTACCTGTGATCCTTTGAATAAATCAGCACTGTTTTGAAGTTACTTGGACTGTCTCATTTCTCAGAGTTAGCAATGGTAACAAGAACTGGAGCCCAACAACTGCCAGGTTATAAATCTAGACATGTCATAACTGTCAAAAAGATTTCTACAGATGTGATGCATTTCAGAGACTGATTCTGGTCCCCTTGATAGCTAGACAGGAGCCAGAATTGTGGCAGTTTAATGCACTCCAGCTGTTGGAAAAATAAACACTGGCAATGTTGATAGTGCTAGATACAGAGAACAAGAGTCCAAACGTTCCCATCGAAAAAGAAAAGCAGTTCATTTAGCTGTGAATGTTCAGGGTTGGCATAGTTTCCTAGTAACGTTTTGGGATCTTGTTCAAATGGACACATCTGTAAGATAGTTCTGGTCTGGGCAGAGCTTGAGAGGAAGAAGTATAACCCAAAAACTGTATCTGAAAAAAGAAATGAAAGGAAGTGTTAAGGGATGGGATGAGATGGGTACATTCTTCTTTCCATGGTAGAGTTCAATAGTGAATGTATACCACATGACACTGGAGCTGGAGCTATGTGGGACTGGGCTGGGGCTGAATTTGGCAGTCACCCTGCATTTCTTTCAAACACTGCAGTCTAAAAAAAAAAACTACATACTGTACTGAGAAAGACTCACCAATTCATTCACTTCTCAACTTCTCACAGACGGACAAATACAGAAATCTCTTCACCACAAATAAAGGGATTATTTTAATCATTAATTACACTTTAAAATAACTGTCTTGCTAGAATTTTTGTCTAATATAAAGACAAAATATATCTTTTACAGTGTACAGTGCCACTCCCTGACAGTGAATCTAACACAGCTGACCTGTTCAGTCAAAGAGGTTAAACTTGACATCACAATATACAGTAGTAACATCTATCCGACTTTACTTCATTTTCTCCTCTAATATGATTTAACCCTGGTGCCTCCACTTTTCAATGCCCATTCCAAACACACGTTTACCCTTGTAGCCTGGCAAAAACCAGGGCCATTTTCGTAATCTACTCATCTTATGAGTCCAGAGATACAACACTGCAGCCCTGCCTGTGCTCAGCTATAAATACAGGGACTGAGAGGAATCATGAATGGAATGAAAAGGACAAATGTTAACCAGCATTACTTTTGCAGTGTGATTAAACTAATGCAGGAAGATTGCAAAAATATAAACAGATGACTTGCACATAATGCAGTTACACTGTAATGTGATCTGTAGTGAATATTTTGACTATAAAAGGCAAAGAAAAACTCCACACGGCCTTAATTCTCAAAGGCTAAATAACACTTACAGGATGTTCAACAATCTGCTTCACTTAAAGCAAAGTTCAGCTGGTTCAGTAACATCAGTATAGCACAGTGAGTTGGCACATCCCAACAAGCTGTCAGCTACACAAAAATATGACCTAATACTGCTTATACATCTAAGTAAATACAGAGGCTAAAAGAAATGCAGGAGAGCAGCATTGTAATCATAATTATACTTACTTTAAACATCTTTGCAGATGAAGTTCAGGAGTACAGCTGAGAAGAAGAGGGTGTGCTGCAGGCAGGGCCTGAAATATATCCAGTGTGGGAGGGTCCTTCATCCTGAGTGACAGTTCAAACAGCAACTAAAATCAGACCATTAGTGAACTTTCACCAGTGGGTTCAAAGTGAAGCTGCAGATTGTAAATATCTAACATAGTGTTTAACAAGTGATTTCAGGTCTTAGTGAAGATAATTATCCGTAGACTATGTGCTGACATCAAACTGCTACATTGTGACCTGATGCTGCTGAGTCGGGCTGCGAGAGGGAGCACAGACCAGAGTGGCAGACAGAAATAGAAAAGCATTTGTTACCAGGGAGACAACTAAATATTTAGCACAGCCAACGGCCTTAATGTCTGGTGACTGTTTATAGCTTGTAACTTACAGTAGGATCAAATGGCAACATCTGAGAACAGGCTCAGTACAGATGTACATAAACTGCCCAGTGGTGATTGTTTGTTGCATCTTGTTGCTTTTCTTTTTTTTCTCTCTCCTCTATCCACTCACCTCAACCGGTCGAGGCAGAAGGCCGCCCACCAAGAGCCGGGGTCTCTTGGACGTTTCCTCCGTTGCTGTTTTGTTAGGGGGGCTGGAATCAGCTCCTAAACTGTGCACTCACACACAGGGCCCTCCCTGGCTTGTAGCTTGTGCTGTTTGGTAGGGGGGCTGGAAGGCAGAAGGCCGCACACCAAGAGCCGGGGTCTCTCGGACGTTTCCTCCGTTAAAGGGAGTTTTTCCTCCTCGCTGTCACCAAATGCTGCTCAAGTGAGATTTGTTGGATTTTTCCTCAAAAATAATCATAATCATAATTATTAGTAGTATTGTAATGTCTAGTCCTTACTTTGTAAAGTGTCCTGAGATAACTTTTGTTGTCATTTGGTGCTATACAAATCAAACTGAATTGAATAGAAACAGGCCAAAGTCAAACCCCCAAAATGGTTGGAATCTCTGACTCACAGCGAGGATGAGGAAAGACTTTCATCTGCTGACACACTGCTCACATATCTGCTGTGACTCAGAGTGAATAACACAGTTACACTGCATTTTTATTGCTGCATATCTTCTCTTTGTAATCCCAACTTGATATGAGCCAAACTTTAAAGAAAAAAAAACCTGTGATTTTATTGTTAATGTGCAGAAATTAGTGGACTAAATGGCCTCTGATTCATTTGTTAGTGAAGATCATACATTCAGTTTCAGTGAGCTACTGTAGTGAGTGGACCTTGAGCTGAAATTGTTTAGTCGCACATACAGATTACAAAATAATGAACAAGCTTTCACGTTCAAAACATCAAATCATGTTGTTCATCATTTTACCACCTTAGTCCCCATGAATGACAGCTCTTTTTTGGAACATATTTGGAAACTTTGCTTCACAGAGAGTGACTATGTACATGTGTACATACTTAATAGTAACCAATATGTTTAGTGTACAACGTGTGTTTCTCATGATGGGAATTCACAAAGTTTTGATTGAGATGGGGTCTTACAGCTCATATGTGTGTGAGGTGTAAGAAGGCTCTAAGAGGACGGCAGATGTGTGATTTACACATAAACACAATGATGCCCTGTAGCTTATGTCTGCCTCAGGAGGCCACAGCTGCTTTATTATTATGTTCACGGACAGACAAGGACGCACTCTCAATTACTAACCAGTTTTCAAGGGCATGTCCATGCAGTTTTGTTCAGCTGTTCTTTCTGAATGTCCACTCACAAACAATGTGTGGTTTGCTCTCATCTAAAACAACTGGCATGTATCAGTGATCCAGGAAACTATGTCAACCTCCCCCTCAAAAAACAGAAATGTGCATTGCTAATAACAGAATTAAATTCTCTTTAAATGGGGCTTAAATAAAAAATGGCTTGTCACGGAGGAACAGTTTGCATAACAGAGGTTCAATTGGTCACAGGGATGTCATGTTTCCTTTTGCAGTGGTAAGACAGTCAGCTGATCTAATCACACAGAAACCTCAAACAGAGGAAGAACACACACACACAGAGGATGGATCAACTGCCCATTTATGTCATTTTCTGATTTTCACCTCTGTGCTAACTAAAGGAGCCAACGTGTGAGCAGAAATATTTTCCCATCTTCTGTTAAATTATATCAATATGGCAATAGTGACATCTAGTGGCTAACATGACTTATTGCAGAAACGTCACAAAACTTGAGGGAAACGTTGTAGTTTGTTGTGTTGAAGCATTGTGGTTTTTCTAGCCAACTGCTCTGAAACCGACTTCGTTGTCTGAAGCCTCAAGTCACACAGAGTTCACTGGTGGAAAGCTCAGTCCTCGTGTTCTACACAACCCCGACACAAGCTGAAGACTGAAGTGAAACAACGAGGTGGGATATGTGGCTTCAGACCGCTCACTCTTAATGTTGCTGCAGGATCAATTCTTAAACTTCAGCATTTTAGTTTATATGTACATATGGGTTTTAAGTACGAGTCACATGTCAGTTATACACAGTATACAGCAGTAGCCTGTTGATGTGAATGTTTTTATACGTATATTGATGGTATAACCAGTGTCTATGTTTTTCATAAAAGATCATGCTTTAATAAATGTTGCAGGCAAGAAGTGCACTGAAAAATCTGGAACATCACAAGGAAGAACAACAAAATAATGAAGGTTTTCAAAGCATATTAAAGAGCAATTGTATGTGGTATTTTCTGGTAAATTTTCTTGACTGCTTGTATCTATAGAGCTAAATTATCACATAATACAATAAGCATAATAAGCATGTAAGGCTGGTACCAGATGCATTCAGGAATTTGTAGACCTGCTTTGCCTAAGCAGGTTTACTTGATCTTAAAGCTTCTGATGCGAACATCCCCTTTGAAGGTGATGACAGAGTACTTCTTTAGACCTAAGCGGTTGGGGAAGTGAATTTGAGAGTCATCTGCTAACGTCACCAGGAACTCCGTAGAGGTGAATCCAATTATGATCTGTACAGTCGGATGAGAATGAAAAACAGAGAAAAAGGAAGAAAAAAAATGCAAATAAAGATTAAATACTCCTGCAAGAATATGGGGACACACACTTTCACGCAGGGGCCACTAACAAACGCAGATTACAAACAAGAAGGGACAACAGAGGCCACTAACAGAAACGCAGATTACAAACAAGAAGGGACACATGCAGGACTAAAACATGCACAGAGACACAGGACCTCTCTCACCTTACACTCCTCTCCACGGTGGAAAGGAAAGCGTCCCACACGTTGCTCCTGGCCCCACCTGCCTCTTTCATAAGAGTTGCAGACCACTGTATTGTTATCTCCATGAGCACCAAAGCGGGGGTTGAAGTGCAATGCAACCTCCTGCTCATCGGGGGCAATATTCACTGAAAAGCTGCAATACAAAGACACAGAGGCATTTTATACATTTTAAAATGTCACATTACATTTAAAATTGGACAACAAATACTAAATGCACAAATTAAAGAGACAACCTCAGCTGCTGCAGTTTATCTCTACACATAATCACAGTTTTCATATGTACTCTTACTTATGTTTGAAATAGAAGCAGCTTCCAATACATATATCACTGATATTTCATTTTTGGATTATGATCATTTTATGTTTTATATTACATTTTGGTATTTTGTTTACTTTGATACATCCATTTAATCTTGGACATATAATTCTTTGAGTTACTATGTTTCACCAGATATGAAATCAAATCGTTGTGATATTGTTTCAGATCACGAGAGGTCATAAGGTTAATTGCTTTGATTGCTTTATTATGGTTGTCCTTGGTTGTCTTGCTTATAGTTTGAACGATTTGTGTCTAGTTTCCATATAGTTTTATGTACCTCTTATCATGTGGGCATTAACTATACCATTGAAAAAAATATATAAATCATTACAGTATGCAAGATGTAATCCAAAAGAAATATGAAATATTCTCATTACATCCTTATATTAATGTTGATTCACTATTTATATTTAGTACTCAATATGTTAACGTTGCTGATGTGACAACAAGGTGGTGGTGATGTGGTATTTTTGCTCAGAGGTGAAAGCTTGTGACAGTGGCTGCAGATTGATAAGAGGTCACAAAAACGGCCAAAAGTTCACCTTGATATTAAAGTTTTGCCAAATTGGGCGTCGTTGTTTAATGACACAGACACTCTATGCAGATTATGGCGCAACTTTTCATCTGCCAGATAGAAAAGATCCTCTTTTCTATGCCAGATAGCCTGGCATAGAAAAGAGGATCTTTTCTATCTGGTTTCTCTTCCTCTAGGAGGAGATGTTTTTCTATTAAATAGCAAAAAGAATAATAGTTGTGGGAATGGGAGTCTCTTTGGCGAGTCCTTAAAGAGGCTGAGTCCAGATGTGGGGCTGAAGACCGTTTCAGGCAGTACACCTGCTTTGAAATAGTTTGACTGTATTAGTTCAGTTTTGATTAATCTTGTATCCTAGAAAATCAACGTTGTAACTTTTTAGATTTTTATTAAACTTTTTGAACTTGGATCGATTCTCCTGTTGTCTTATTCAGACCTCACCCAGGTCCAGGTCTCCCCCAGGGACAAAGGTAAGAGACCCCTTCCTCTATGTGGTGATCAGGTTCTAGTGTGGCAGTATTTGTCTCTACTCAGCAGGGAGATATTACAGTTGCACACACTCCAAAAGGTAGAGTGGTTATCATACTGCATGGGACTGGCTTACAGAGGTTACACACTGAGAGTGGTCTGTTAGGAGCTGCTTGACCGTG